CCAAAATCTCATTTTTTCTTTCACCAACTCTCTCTGTCTCTCTAAGATTTTAGTTAGATTGTAAATTATAGTTTTTTTTTTGTTATTGTTGCAAATGACCCATGTTATACTGTGTGTTTCACATTCATAGAAAAAATTACGGTTCATAAAATCATGTATAGTTGGAGTCGGCAAATTAATGAAGAGAAGATCCCCAAAAAATGTCGGTAACGGTTAAAGAAGAGAAAGATTAAAGACGTAATAATAAGTTAATATGGTCAAATTAGTTGCTCCAAAATATATGGAAACGAACCGACCACGTCTCACTGTTTACTTTGCGGAGTAAACACATTTAGTAACGAATGTGTCATCATCTTCTCCGGAAGTAAATACAATTATAAATTTTAATACCACAGAATCAAGAAGCAAACCAAGAAGATAATGTTTTTTTTCTGTAACATATAATTTACATAAGTAGTACGTCCACTAGATTTGAAGATTTATAGCACTGTCGACATTAGTTCTTACAAGCAATAATTACTCTTTTCTTCTTATATTAAGCTCATATAATATCGAGGAAAATGTTCATACATTGAACTAAGCTCGTTACTCGTTCGTTAGTATGATTGGTTTTCAATATGAAATTATTTTTTCGGTAACTAGAAACTATTTTATTAGTCACTCTGTAAGTACTCTAAGAGATTGTATATTGTTAACGTCGAATGTAATCTCGTCATAATGATAACAATAATGTATCATAGAATTTTTTTTTCAATAGATGTGCATTTCGATTGACTGATATTGATTTATAAATGAGAATAAAAATTGGGGCGTATACAATGAGGCCACTAATTTACCTTGTAACGATCAAAGATATTATAATTAAGGTGAACTTTTTAGTTCATAGATTCGATTGCTGCAAACATCAAAGAGACATAGATCACTCAGCACCATGTGATTCACTCAATTGTCCATCAAGACTAAACCAATATTTCTCTCTTTTGCTAACCCTTTTCTTGCTATATATCAATTTGTTTTTAGAAACAATTAGTAGTTTTATTGTTGTCAGCATTATTACTCATTCATCTTTACTAAAACAGTGGCACGGGGGAATGCATTTGGATAGTAAATGGTTTTAGTTTCTTATTATATAAGAAAATGAATCTTCATTAACTAACATATTTTAAATATAAGCACCACTTCCAAGTGTAATCCCATGTGATCATGGACGGCTTGCTTTTTATCAATTACAAAACATAAAATATTATACATTAATTTGGAAAGAAAGGTTCTTGAAATTTAGTGTATGCTTATTTAAAAAATAGTATTGCTATTTTAGGGTTTTTTGTGGTGTAATGACTTTCTGCATGTGAAATATAGTGGGAGGCAGCAACCAGATGATCACTTTTAAATTGGATAATTTATTATATATCAACTACTCTAAAATCATGAAATGGAACTGTATTAATAATGTCAATAATACTAGCAGAACATACATAATATAGAGATCCATATATAACAAACAGTTATCATAACTACTAGCAAAATCAAATTATTAATATCTAATTCTAATGTAAGCTTTGATGATTTACGTGTTGTATCAAATACAGTATACATTAATTAATACGTGTGTATATATATACACACACACCGACATATGGAGAATGAAATCAAAAATTATTGTTAGAACATACTTCAACCATTAGTCTAAAGAAAATTATTAGTAAAATTTTAGACCAATCTCCAATATATATGTGCATAGAAGAGTCGAATATTTTGTTTTTTGCCGTACTAATAAACCATTCGACCACTTTATGAACTGACATTCATTCATTTACAATAGTTTTGATAATATCAATAAGAATCCAATGTAACTTCATAAATATTTTGTATTTGCTTCTAAAGTACAATTATGGAAGTACATCAGTACATTGTAAAACAAATATAAAAATATTTTTAATTTATTTAAGATTCAACTACTTCAACAACGTCTCTGACATGACCTAACCTAAACTCATCTATTTTGTAATATCGATCTAAACCTTTGTTTTCATAACACTAAAGATAAATCGAAAAATAGAATATATAATTTGTTACTGCGCTCATATTTAGACAAAGGCATTGAGATTTGGGATTAGGACAAAAAGAGACATCACCTGCTCATGTGTGTACAGCAGAGATTGCTGTGCTGTATAGAAAAAAATTATTCACAATTATTTCTACCAATAACGTTTCATCTTAATTTTACAAATACTTTTTTTTGTTAATTATCTTCTACTATTATATTTGGCAGCTTTACATGTAAATTTGTTTGTTATTGTTTCTTCTAATTTTGTATATTTTCTTTCGTCTACCCTTGATATGAATATATATATATTAATAAATCCTCTCCATGTTCCCCTAATTTGTCCATGTACCATGAAAACAAACTCTATTATTATTTTGGATAGTATAATTCACACCTATTATTACTTTCCACGGTTTTTTTGGTTTTATTATCACTTTCCACGTTCATATCTCATAAGTTATAAAAGAGGAAATACATTATATAAAACCCATATCTAAGTGGTTACTGGTTAAGGGTCTCGTATGAATTATATATCTCATCGAAACATCTAAAGTCAAGAATGATAACGGGTTGTTGTTAATTATGGTTTTAGACCTGATATACATTTTTCATTACCATATGTATATACAAAAAAAAAAAAAAATTGGGTCATAACTCATAACGTTCCATACAAATGGTTTATATATGGAAAGTAATTGTGACCAAAAATATATATTATATGGAAAGTAATCATAATTGATTTTAGCTATCGGTCAAAGACTGGCGAGATTAGTGCGGTTATTGATAGTATTTAATCTTTTTTAAGTTTTAATACATTAAAAGGTCAAAAAGATTGACTAAAATGTAACTACTTAAGGTACATAATCAAATAATATCTTCAAATTCTTTTAAAGCATCGGTTTTTGTGCATCTAATTTAATTTTAAAATCTTGTTTGATATGAAAGCATCAAGATTCAACGGTTATAGGTGTGTATGTTTAGCAATTAAAGAAACATATAAACATAACGTAAAAAATGAACATTTGACATTTTTATTTCAGAAACCCAAAAAGGGAAATTATCTGAGAGTTGTATAAATACAGGCCTAAGCTTGCCATTATCTTCACAACACATAATCTCTAATTACAAAAGAAAAACAGAGTTCGTCTTTAACTTACCAAAAACAGAGCTTTTTTTTTTCTTTCTCTAATACACA